AAAACAGTCTCTGAGTGGCTCCTCAAGGCTGGAAGTGAATTAGCAGTGTAATTCAAACCAACACGAAACAAGAGTGACTCTGAATCACCATAATGTATTATCATACACATAATGAGCTCAAGTCATCTCCAGCACAAAATGAACTCCACAGTGCAATTCTGTCCACCAGTTGTTTCTGATGTAGGAGTCTCTTCCAAATGCCTGATTACACACACGCATCAAGTAAAAAAAAAAAACACACAATCAGACAGCATGGAGAGTTTGAGTGAATCGTTGCTCTAACAAGATTACCATTGTCAGATTTAACTTTAACAGACAAAGGGGCGGTGGGCTGAGAAAAGAGAGAGAGATGCACAATAGCATTCTGGGGCTCCTGTCAAAGATGGACTGTGTTTGGGTGGGTGGGACGTGCAATTAAGCGTAAAACAAATCCATTAAAACCATCAAACCCCACCCACTAGTTTACTGATTCAGGCTTATTAAAGCACACTACACTGGACACATTGACAGATGGTGTCACACTATGACAGACAGCAAGCTCAGCTGAATTGACAATGCTGTGTATTTACTATGCCAAGTGAATAAGAACAGAACCCACTCTAATATCGCTCTAACATGCGATGAAGCTACAAGAGGCCATTCAAAACAACGTCACATGTCATTATTTGTGATTTATAAAAAAAAAAAAAAAAAAACACTGTTATGTTAGTCACCTCTACTTTATTCCACTCTGATTTACCAGGAAATGTACTGAGGAAACTGGTTTCAGATAAAGTCACATAATATCATAAGAACTGATGACCTAAGAAAAATTCAAGCTTTTCAGACAACCATATTAACATTTAATGATTAGAATGTTTATTTCTTTGTACAATATTGAAAAAAAAAATATTTACACATGAATCTGCTCTGACAGATGTTGCTTTTTATTCTCATAACTACAGATGAATTGCATGTACAGAATTGTCGGTCAGCATATGTAGGGTTGTAGTGAATTGTTTATTATTCCCTCAAGGAAGGTCTATTAAAATCATGTGGTTCTCCTTCATTTCAAACGGTGTCTTGGGAAGCTTTGAGAAAAGACGTAAATGAAGACACATTAGCATACCTCTCTAACTTGGCCAATCAATGGTCCTCCCACCCACTCACACCTGCCTTCGGCAAATCAAATCTGACCTGTGACTCACTGTAACTGGATCAGCCAATAAAAACCCTCGTAGCAACTGAAATAATTATATTTGTCAGAATAATGAGGAACGATGTTACAGTCACTCAGTAGGTCAAGGACATTCAGTCTAGCCGTGACTATTCCTACAGAACTGCTGCAGAATTCAGACTGTATACTATCAACAGTATCTAAAATTCAATAAAATTATGAATATATATATATCACTATTCCTTATTATTTGATTTACTGGCTTAATCAGTGACTAGAGGAAGTGAATTATAAGGAGTGTGAAGAAAATTACTTGTGGCATGCCTTGCTAATTATTTTAACTTTTGGTGAGCTACATGGAAAAACTCTGATAATCCAGCCTTCATTATAAAATTAGTATCTAGCAAAATATAGCCTTCAGGACATATGGGCTTGAAATAATACTATTATCCTCTTCAAGAGGAACTATTGCAAGACTGGAAGTGATTTTGTTTTAATCTTCCTCCAGCCTGACTGCTGTCCTCATGTGGTTGTGTTGTTCTGTTCTTTTTCTACACATCACTTCCACTACACTTCCAAAGAACATAACTCCTGAGATAACAAAGGCAGATCCATCAGATGTAAACCAAGGTGAACAAACTCTTAGATTATGTAAGAGCAGCATATCAACTGACAAGCAAAAGGAAGATTACAGTATCAGTGAAAAAGAGCACCACTAATGAAAACATCACACTTACCAGTGTAGATTTGCATGTGTATCTGAATTTCACAATGCTACTCCAACACAGTGGTGACCTAAAATAGTTTCCACTGCTTTTTCATAGTCTCTCCTTGTCCACTTAATACAGTGGAATCTCAGATGACTCCATTTATCTTATTTTCAGTGTCAAAAGACTCCACCTAACAGTCTTTACAGAAATGAAAGTTATTCACATCTAAAGATTAGAAAAATATATATATACTTAAATAAAAATGTATTACCTTCTTTCCTCTGTGGAACACAAAAGGAGTTATTTTAAAGAACGTGCTACTTGCTCATTTCCAAAAAAATTCCAATGAATGGAGACTGAAGCTTTCAAGCTTCAAAAAGGAAGCAAAAACACCATAAAATATCTTAAAAATAGTCCAAACGACTTTTTGCTCTGAATCCATAAAACAGCTTTGTGAGAGAAACACAAACAAAATGTATTTATTTACAGATAATTGTTTCAGAAGACTTATATATATATATATATATATTTTAGGGCTGGGCGATATAGCTAAAAAATTGAACAACGATATAATGTTTCATATCATTCGGTATCGATAATTATTGACATTTTTTATAACCTCCCAGTAACTTTGTTTTGATAAGCCTTTTTCTGCAAGCGTCTGAGAAAGCGAGCGCATCAGATTTCGCTCCCTTGGTGATGTTGCATTATAATATTACCGCCCCTTAATCTGTATATTTACACCCACAGCGCCATCATTTGATTTCGCAAGCGACAATGGTGTACCAGCTCTAAAGCCATGACGAAAAAGTGAAAGTGACGTGACATGTGGCCAAGTATGGTGACCCATACTTGGAATTAGTGCTCTGCATTTATCCCATCCAAAGTGCACACACACAGCAGTGAACACACACAAACCGTGAACACACACCCGGAGTAGTGGGCAGCCATTTTTATTTTTATTTTGCTGCAGCGCCCGGGGAGCAGTTGGGGGTTCTGTGCCTTGCTCAAGCGCACCTCAGTCGTGGTATTGATGGTGGGAGAGAGCGCTGTACATTCACTCCCCCCACCTACAATCCCTGCCGGTACGAGATCACATGCTGTGACAGTCGCTTTCTGTCCGTGTGCTTCAGATGTGTGCTCACAGAAAACTGTATATAAGAAGTTTAAACTCATATGGTTTAAAACGCATGATTTCAGTGCGATAAACATGATAATCAGAACCACAACAGATGCTTTTTAGCAGGTACGAGCTGTAATGTAAACTGTTTTAACTTTGCATGGCTACATCTCTTGTGAGAGACGCGAATGCAGCAGTCGTATTTGTCCATCTAAAAATGTGCTTAATATGTGTTCTGTGTGAATGGCTTGGTTTCGGTTTTAACTATAGACTGTATAAAAACAGGTTTTAACCTAATCAAGATCTTGTCCGCATTGAGCTTCTATATTTCTCTAAATATATATATATATATATATATAATAATTGTTTGTGTTTTACTGGAAAAGAAAAATTGAGGGTGAGTAAATGACAGAATTTTCATTTTTGGGTGAATATTTTCACCTTTTATACTGAAAGAAAGAAAGAAAGAAAGAAAGATCTGAAAGTCAAGCCTGCAAAGAACTCTACGTAATCAAAGTTAAATCAAGAATGTGCCCTTCTTAAAATGTTTATTTCTCACAGTGGGGAAAAACAAACAAACAAATTAATTAATCAATCAATCAATAACATAAAGCAGTAAAAAGCTATTAGATTTTCCCATAAGAACTGATGTAAGGGTTTTTATATAGTGACAACACCCCTATTAGGACAATGGTCTGTCTCTACTGCTTCTTCCTCTTCTCACTATTTATATCACACAATGCACAGCTGTTGCAATGGCAACAAATGTTAACCGACCTGCACTTGAAGCAGAATGAAAATCGAAAGGATTGCCTGAGGATAAGAGTTAAATCCAGCTGCAATCTGATAGAGCAGATTAATTTAGGACTGCAAGATACACCTGAATAAGAAACCGTTTAAAAGCGTTTGTGCTGAAATCAACATCAGGCTCTTCAACAGCTGCATGTATTACGATCATTGCTGTTTAAACCCTTTACCTTTTACTAAATGAATATGCCTGTATTGGAATTCAAGAAAGTATTTTTATAAAAGCTGTAAACAGACATTCACCAATATGCTAGATCAGATGCTTAAACTTTAGAATTAGAACCTAATTGTTATAATTAGAACAACACAGAGCAACATAATTGCTAATACTTTCTAATGTATGGCTATTGTTTTCCTACCAAAAATGAAGTCATGTCATTACGGAACTGGCTTTTATTAGTTAAAGAGAACTGGAACGAACTAACAGAATGGAAAGTGATACTGGGTGCATAGGAAATCCCTTCCTTAAATGATTTCCAATTCAAACAATATTCCCAAGAAAAAATGTTTTTGAACATTTTGGACAATGACCCATTACATGCTGTGGTGAATCAGACCCACATGACCCGACAATGGTGGACAGAGAGAAATGAAACTGAATGCGGTCCTAACCATCACTTCACACACAGATAGTACAAGAAAACACATTAGATTAAGAGTGATGTTGTGACCTGACAAGAGAGGAAATGAAAGTCTGGTGTTCAAGGACAGCAAAGAAAGCAATCCCAGAAGAGCTCCAAGTTCAATTTCATATCACTGTTCAAATTTTTGCATTATTAAAAATGAAATATTTTACACAATTTGTGTGTGCTATTTATTTTTAGGATGGAACCAAACAGGATGGAATTTAGGAAGTTTTGTAATGTTGTTTTCCTACCAAAAATGTTGATTATAATGGTCAGGATACTGCCTTAGATGGAAGCTGTCTATGTACAAAGCTTTCTAGAAAAGAGCTGCATTAGAGGTTATTCTAAAAACTGTGAGGAAAAGATACTGAAACCTTGTTCACTCAGTGACACTGAGTCCCTTTAGTCCATCTGTTCACTGCATTTTTAGCTCTTGAGTTTAAGTATGTTTTGAGTGAGATATGAAAATGTCCAAAGAATGTTAAGATAGAAAGAGCAACGCAGTGTTCTGCAGGGAAAGATAGAGAGATTTGAGACATTGGATCTTTGTCAAATATATGTCAAAATGAGACAGGACTCACCTCCCAGGCTCATCTATCTTCTGTGTGTGAAGCAGTGCCAGTACCAGGGTAAAGAGGGATGTCGAGGTAGATGAGTTAGGGGCCTTGCGGTTGTTAGGGTCAGTGCTCAGGATCAAGATGCTGGGGATGGAGGAAAAAACAGCTCAGCTCCAGATGGGTGCAGAATCAGACAGTGCCAAACATTTCAACGCAGATACCGAAGCATGTTAAAAAAAATTGTTAAACATTAATAAATATATTGTTAAATACTATAAATATATTTATACATTTTACTTTTCCAGTGAAAATATCTACACATCTTTAAAAAAACAAAACAAAAAAAAAAACAAACAAACTGCAAGACGTTTTTCTGGCATAAACCTCACAAAATAAAAAGAAAAAAAGAAAAGAGAGCGGGAACTGTTCCATTTTGATAGAAATGTTCCATTTTCGCTAGAAAAATAAACTTAATTGAAGATATATCACTGATTAACTACCACCGTATGGTGCATCACTGGAGAAACTTGCCAACTAGTCACTACTGTTTCCCGAAACCGCAGTAACAAGGTTGCACCTCTGTCATTTAAACCACATTGGTTTAACAACATAGGACTGTTGTTAATAGATTCAATATCATGTTAGGTTGTTTGTTTTGCCCAAGAGCACAATCCATTTAGGTCCATGTCTTAACAAGGACAGAATAGTGGCACGTCCTAACAAGAAACAATGTTTCTAACCACAGTTCGAGAGCTGTAGCTTCAAGTTCCAACCAAGCTTGCCATGCTGTTTGCAAATGTTTGTTGAAACTATGTTTACAGGAATCACTGAACTATGTTAGTAACAACAGGAATTGCAACCATAGTTGGCGAATGATGCTTTCGGGCCCAAGTCATATTCTGGTCCCTGTATATGGCTTGGGTCAGTCTATGTGATTTTAGCATCTGCCGAAAGAAAGTCTGATCTTTCAGAAAAGCAGTAGCATACCTCTGCTCAACACAATGTACAATTTGAGCTATCATTCATGTCTGCAGCACAAACAGTGCAGGAGTGTAATAATTACTGATGGGTTAGGAGTTTTAAAACCTGAGTAGTAGCAGTTGATGCTTGCTTTAGTCCGAAACTCAAAGCTCTATATAGCAAAGCAAATTTGCACTGCATCCTCCTTTATTAATGATGCATGAGGTGGTCACAAAGTAAAACTAAAAAAACATTGTAAATTTCCGTATCAGCTTGACGCTTCACAAATGCAACACTTGATCATGAAAACTGCAAAGCAGAACAGACGAGATGAGTCTACATTTAAACCCACAGCCACACCAAACTGTCAAGGCAATTCCTACAGACAGCTGTTTGCCACAGAAGGGGGGGGGGGGGGGT